TTGTTTTCAACATAAATTGTAAAACATCGGAAAAATGTGATGAGTATCTGATTCATTTTAGAGATTATTTAAATATAGATTATAAAAACATTTCCTACAATATATATAAATATATATATTTATATTTAATAGTTATCGCACAAATAAACAGTAAATACGATATTTTTGATTTGGAACAAAGTGAAATTTTTCAAAACCTGAGAATGTTAGAGAAAAATTTCCAGATCCAAAAGTATTACGCAAAAACTCATAAGGAGCGTGTATACAAAAGGTTAAAATGCTTATCTTAAATTACTCGTAAAATAAGAAACTTCGAATGTATAAAAATAACCGAAGTTATTTCAAACAAACCGCGCACTACAATTTTTAAAATGTAAATGCGCGCGTTAATCGCATGAGTACAGTAATGATATTATGATTCATAATCGCCATGAAAAATTCATCAGTGCATTATGCAATAATGCAATACATGCGAAAATTTTAATTAATTTTGATCAGTTTTTGATTAATCTTACATATGATTAATCGATAAAAATACAGATTCGATAATCGTATAAACAGGTATTTGCATTGGTAAATAACAATGATCACAAGAAAGTCGATAGGTTCTTCCATATTAGTGATTAAAAAAGTGCTTTTAGCGTAAGCACATGACACTGCACGATATTTTTGGCGTTTACGTTCATCGATATACATTGTCGGTCAAAAGTTTGGGGCCGATGCATTGGTTAAAAGAAAAACTTCTAAGTTTTGTAAACAACATTTACTGGGGAATTTTTATGTATGATAAAGGAACATGGACAAATGTGTATTAGTCAAATGTAAAGATATTTGATAGAATCATCTTAAAGCTCTCTTTGAACCATGTTATTTTAGCTAAAAAAATTTCCGATCGTACCGCTAGCAGTAGAATAATCTAAGAATCACACTTCGTGATTTATAAGTTTCATTTATTTTATTGTATATATTTGTAATATGTATCATTTTTAATTTGTGACGTTACACGTCAAGTGATCCCAAACTTTTAAATGATAGTTACATAGAGGAGCCGTCTTAGTAAACACGAGTCTGGAGCTGTCTCATTTTTAATGTGTAAACGCATCTTTCCCATGGTACGTATCACCTTTGTGGTGTTCTCGTTATGGGGGAAAACCGATTTCCTCGCGGAAAACACCGTCCGCGCTCGAGACGAGAAGAATATCACACGACATACAAACGTGCGTGCTTTGTGGTTAAAATGAGATTTTGTATTATATGTGTAAAATTATATAAATCATATACACAGAACAATCTACTATTAACATGAAATGGAATGCAATTCTTATAATTCAAATTTTCAGATATAAATTGTGCTTTTTCGCAGTTTTTCAATTATTCCGACAGAATTTTGTAAAGAGTTTCGTTAAAAAATCGAATGATACCCTTAACTCGTTAAGTGTGGAATTTAGTTTCAAAAATTTCTTATTGTGCGTACAATAAAATCAAATAATGGAGTGTATACTCGTCAAATGCAGGTCAAATGCAATTATAATATATTCTAATGAAAAACTCCAGCGAAATGAAGAAGAGTTACGTGTTTGCCTAAAAAAATAAATAGTTTATCGTTGACAGAGTTTGGACCTTTTAGAGTATTAAGATGAAGTGTATACTCGTCAAAGGCAGTTAATTGATTAATGTTAAATTAATTTACTAATTATTATGTTACTAATTGTCAAGAATAATGCATATATCTAATAAAAAGTGTTCGGTATCCGTGTTAAATGATTTTAAATAAACCTTTATATTTAACATTCGATTTATTTAAAGTATTTCTTACACAATTAATCACGTCGTTCAAATAGACGTTTTTTTAATTGCCATTGCGAATAATATAAAAGCATCCCTTGCTGCGTGATAACGCTCGCTATAATCAGTGTAAGTTTGCTCTTGATAATCAGCTAATCGTGAAAGCACCCTAATGGTAACAAAGAGAAACTGCACACGCGATTACGAGATCGATCACGCGAGTAATGTTTTCAGTGCTCGCCTTTATCACGTTTCATTGGCCATGAGCAAACGTTCCTTGCTATTAGCAGTTCTATTCGACGCTCGCCAACAAACCACAGGAATTTCCTAGTAAAAGATGTTCCACGCTAGAAGGGAATTTCTTGTAGACAATAAAATGTAGTCACCGATCACGCTACGTGATTCTTCGAACAAATTTACATCTTTTCGAGTATTCTAACATTTGATCGACGATTTTTAGAACGTTTGTATACTAAATACAAAAATGAAGCACATTTTATGTCATCATTCTTTACTCTCAAAATTAATTTTTCACAGAAAATCAAACTATCAATTTTAAAGATTTTTACAAACAAAAAGCTTTACAGGCTTTTTACATACTTTATAAAGATATTTTTCTGTTTATTTTGAAAAATGAAGATTTGAGGCAAAACCTAACTTTGTGTATTTCAATCAGCGCATTGTCACATATTATGCATTCAATTATATTAGCTATGTTTACTATTAGGTTTTAAAAATTCATTATAAACCGTTAAAACAGTCTGCATGAATAATCGACATTTTTAATTTTGGAAATTTTCTTTTAGATTATCTATTAGATTTATAAAAAATCTTATTCCTTTGTCAATATCGAGAACTATAAATCAATTATACCAAAAGGTGCCAGAAAGTTGACGATGATGTCAGAAAATGGTCAATACGTAATTTGATGAAAATTAATGTAATTAAAAATTTAATTTAATTACTTGCATGCAGTGAAACTTAAACTTAATACCTAGAGCAAGACTTTCCTTGATCAATTCATTATGTTCGTCCAATGCTGACAATGACAATTGTTATATATACAAGGTGTTTCTTAATTATTGCCCACAAATGATAGGACATATACAACTCATTAAACTGATTAAAAAAAATTAGTAAACATTGTTCAAAACTTAATACTTTCCGAGATAAAAATAGGTTTTGTTTTTAAAAAAAATGTACGAGGACCGAATCAAGAACACTGAATTATTTCAAGAAGTATTAGTGATATGAACAAATGTGTGAAACAAAAGTTACAGTGTACGAATTACTACATGTCACGGTGGGAGGTAATTTGACCGTGAGGTGACCTGGTAACTCCTGCAGAGGTCACGTCACAATTCTTGAATAGAACCCCATATTTTCTATTCCATATTTTTACCATACGTTCTATACGTTCTTTTGTAATACTTAATCAATATTACAAAATCAAAACACTTAATGATTTACGTCAGATGACTACATCATGTGACGATGGGGGAAGTTTGAAAATCAATAGACTTGTCTTAAAATAACTTCAGAATGCTTTCCACCTATTAAAATACAATTATTCGCACAAACTTCGGTTCGATCGGGTCAGATTGATATTACGTAATTGAATTTTATTATAAGTATATAATTTAATTCTAATGAAAATGCGACTTGTCACCGCACAAAAATGCTTCTACTGCGTACAATGAAAATTGTGTACTAGAGGAGGCCTAAGAAATAAAGAACTTCCAGGAAGTTACGTAACCTACTCTTAAAAGCTCTTGACCTTCCGCTTCGGTTTCTAATTGTCTTCATACTTAATCATTGTATAACTGACACGGACGGTCTACATTCACGCGGGCAGAAGGAAATATAAACTGCAATCGCTTCATCGCTATAGCCTAATTGTAAATCTTGTCGCAGGCGCAGGACTATTAACGTGCATGCCATTGCAACTGTTTTTACTTATGAGGTTGATAAACAGTAGTAATTAACGTAACGGGATTGCATTGTATACAACTCTTACAAATAAAATCATGGTCTCTTAAACCGCATTCTTTAGCGGTAATAGTTCTTCGAACGACGCAACGGTAACACAGTCTTCTTATGGAGATGAACGCAGACCTCTAGCAGTTAGATTCCTTTTTGCTGCAACTAACAAGGTCTGCCATCAAACAGGTAAAAAAATTGCCAACCGCCGATCAGATGTTGAAATTTCTGTATCTGGAAATTTTAAAAATGTCAACGTACCTTGTTTATTATAAATTAATGTTAACATACCTGCTACTACCGTTACACATTTCTAACGGTCAATATTTTGTATTTTACTGAAGGAACATTAAACCAGCACCTTTTCTTGTAGTTCTATTTAACCAATTAACTGTGGAATTTAGTTGGAAAAATCTCTCACTGTGCGTGCAATAAAATCAAATAACAAATGCAAAGCAAGTGCATCTATAATGTATTCTAATGAAAAATTAAAGCAAAACGAAGAATTACACATTTATCTGAAAAAATAAATAATTTATCGTTGAAAAAATTAGTATCATTTTGTGTTTTAAAATTACGTGTATATTCGTCCAACTCGGTTAACTGATTAAAGTTGTGACGTATGGCGTAACTTTTAGGAAATTAACAAAATATTTTTTTTTCCGTTTTGTTTTATAGATTGGAAATATGTTGTATGTAATAAAATATTGTAGTTATGAAAACTGTATTTATTGAAATAAATGATTGTCTCATGAAGGTCGAGTATTTTTTCATTTTAAATATATTCACTGTTGAGACAATTTGACTCTTTAATGATATTTTACGATTTACAATGAAACGATTAGTATTTCTTTATAAACATCTGTACCTTTAATCGATAGTGAGAATACACTAAGAATATATAAATTAGAATTTGTAAAAAATGAACCTTTATATGAGATATTTTATTTCCCACTGAAAAGATATTTCTTATGTAAAATGAGGTATCTCATGTTTTGATGTCAGTGTGTTAATATGTTCCTAATATAGCATCCAAATGATTATTTACTCGTAAACTGTAAGTAAACGATATTCTCTCTTCTTCTGATTATTCGACCAGATTTGAAAAGTCTAATTTCGTATTCGGGAAGAATTCAAACTATATTACTGAAATGAATGAATAAAAAAACACAAAGAATGTAATTTTTTTAACTTTCAATTAAGATCTAGTACACCAGGAAAAGGAACAATGCAAGTTATGCTTTAAGAACTACATTTATTTAAAATAATTTAAGACATTTACAATACACTATTCTATTAATGTCGTAGCACCGTAGCATCAAATACAAATTATAATAGATTAAAATAAATGCATCAATTAATAATACATAAATAATAAGTAATACATAAGTAATAAGTAACGGCAAATGCAATAATAAGCGAGGTAATCACTATATCCTAAATGTCACGAATGACTATGAAGCATTTTTTGAACATTTTAACCCTGCTAGGATCCTCAGTTCATCTACAAATTTCAAACATCGTTCAAAAAGTGAAAGCACATAGTCTAATAATAATTTCCTCACACTATTCCCTCATTGAAAAGTATCCTTAACAAAATGAGAAGGCGACAAAATCGAAAAGAAAGGTAAACAAAATAGTACTATAAATATGAAGACGTGATCGGATAAAAGAAGACCCAATGACCGTAGCAGAGTTAAACATGGTTTCTAAAGAGTATTTGATGACATGCAGCATATTCGAAGAGTTTCCATTCAAATCCAAATATTCAAATGCAAGTTGGCAGCTGGTCGGTAACGTTCTTCTTAACTTTCTCGTCTGCTGCATCCCAGGATCGAGTTAAAGAATGTTATTATCCACTTAACGAGACATTCTCTTGCGGGCGTCTAAGTGGATCATCTGTGACTCCCGACAGGTCTACTAGTATTGATATTCCTGCTCCTCAAAGTCAGCGTCTCGCCTGAATCTCATGCCAGCGCCCAGCCCGAAAGTAGGCGAGGGTCCGCCACCTGGGCCGCGCTGAACTTGACCGAATCCTCTAATGAAACCACCATTGCGAAAAGTACGTTCTGCCTGGAGGCCAATGTGCGGTTGCGGCGGCATTCCTGGACGAATGTTCAGTCCTCCGTAGGCGTTCGCGTTTGCGTTGTCCCTTTCAAAGAATCGATGGTGGTAGTCCACATCGAGGGATGGTCGGCGATCCGGGCCACTGAGAGGTTTCGTCGCTTGGATGCTAACCGATCCTCGATCATTTTGGCGTTTAACACGGCCTACGATCTGAAAGGTAGAACCAAAAGTTAGCACCATTTACAGTTTTAAGATGACGTGTATACTCGTCAAACGTAGTTAACTGGTTGATAGAATATTAGATTTTTATTTCACATAAATTATTTAATAACAAGTACTTGAATTCTTTAAATGTGATTTGTAATTTATAGTTTTATATTTGAATTATTCTCAATTTGTACGACCAGAACGGTGAAAGTATATGAGTATGTTGCCAGATTTTGTTTTCGCTTAACACTTCAAAGGTGTACAAAAATGGAACATGGTCAATGAACATTTCAGTTTTAATAATAATATGGATAAAATATATTACTGAATAAGATTTGGTTACTTTTCATATTTTTAGTGTAAATGGTAACTTTTCTTTTTACATCAAACACAATTAACTGGTTAACTTACAGCTTCCTGATACATAAGAGAAGTAAGGCAATTAATTCCTACAGCGACTGGTTGTTTAATGTTTTAACGTTTTAGCAAATATTAGCGTTAATTTTGAAAATAAACCCAAGAGCTCTGGTTACTTCTAGTAAGAGATGCAGAGTAAAAGATACGATTGTATATTATAAATATGTACTTTTAAACGATATTAAATTAAATTAAGTTAAATTAAATTAAAATATATAATTTAACATATGATCATCGAAATATAATGTATTAATTTCACACCATGAATTAAATATTTGTTACTTTCCATCTATCTTACTCGTATGTTTAAAAATAATTCAAATTGTTAGGTATTTAAAAGTGCAAAGGAATTTGAAATTTAAATGTATATACAGTTAACAAAAAAAATAAACGAGAAACTGAAAAATTTATATAGTTTGCATACTTACATAAGATTCCTGTTGTTCTTCATGTTCAACTTGAGCAGCAGCGTATGCAACTGCACACAGGACGACCAATGCAAGGCTGACGAATTTCATGTTGATTGCGTTTGTTGGTTTTCTTCGAACTGTTGAGTAGAAGACTTCTAATGCACTCGAGTCGAGCTGAATGAAGTGTGTGCCATATTCAGCTAGTGTTCAAGCTTATATACAAATTTCCATCGATGAGTTCCTTCTTTGTTTCCTTTGTGACATTTCCGACGGGGGATCACCGCTGGTTTCTTAATCTCTTTTGCTTCTTCTCCGATATTGCGGGGAACTCCGCACTTCGGGTCACCACAGATCATTGTACGCGACTCTATCACGTACGCACACGATTTCCTTAAAGTTTAGACTCGTTTGCGGTCCATTTAGGGTAGCTTAAATAAAATTTGAAACTTTTGTTTAATAGAAATAAAATGGTCTGATCTAATTGAAGATTCAATTATTTTTAATTCACGTCATTCTGAATAAACATATGTTATTGCTATTGCTAGATTTCTTCAATTATATCACTTATAGAGTCTCTTTTTCACGCGGTACACTATAACACTATTTACGATTGTTTTGTATACGATCTGAATCTAATTACACTGAGTAAAATTTACTTTGCTTTTCTGTAATGTCATTATCATTATCTTCTTAATTATTTATTTATATTAAAGCGGTCGCATTAACAATAGAGTCGTACGCGACCTACACGTCTACCACTTCTGTAATATACAATTATGTACTGT